CTCCATCGTTCCCATTCCTTCCTTCCTTCTCTCCATCTCTCCCTCCCCTCCCTTCCTCCCTCCCTCCCGCTCCTTCCTTCCTTCCCTCCATCTCTCCCTCCCCTTCCTTCTTTTCTTCCTCCGTCCCTCCTTCCTTCCCTCCATCTCTCCCTCCCCCCTTCCTCCCTCCCTCCCTCCGTCCCTCCCATTCCTTCCTTCACTCCATCTCTCCCTCCCCTCCCTTCCTCCCTCCCGCCCTTTCTTCCTTCCTAAATTTATAAGTCGCCTGACTCCCAGGGACTCTAAATCTAGACAGTTATTATTGGTGCAAAGAAAGTTTGATATTTATTGTATTATTACACTGCCCTGACTTCTGCACTATTGCTTTTATATACCACTCAGTGTCTCTTTAGAATGGGGCAGTCCATACATTTTATAAATAAAGAGATGAAATAACAATTACACTCATCTCCCACGACTGCGTTCTCAGTGTATTTTCGTCATCCAATGTGCGTTGTTTTTTTAAAAAAAAAGCTGACCAAGAGGTGAAGATGTGTGTACGCAGTTGAACTGTCAAACTATTAAAACAAGAAACTAGCCCAGTAAAAGCATGAAGGTGGGGAACCAAGATGGATCTAGCATTCCAGCTGGAGAGAAAGTTGTTTATAAATGTGTCCAGTGGAGTTGGGGAATTTCCTGAGCTGGAAATTCTAGGAAGATTGAATTCTGGTAAAGAGTAAGGTTATCACCACGTTCAATCAAAGGCACTTAGAATTCCCCTGAAGATTTTGTGCTTTACAGGCAATCCTCCCTTTTTACAGTAGTTCATTTAGTGACCGTTCGAAGTCACCACGGCCCTGAAAAAAGTTACTTATGACCATTTTTCACACTGACGACCGTTGAAGCCTCCCCCGTGGTCACGTGACCCAAATTCAGACGTTTGGCAACTGACTCATACTTATGACGGTTGCAATGTCCTGAGGTCGTGCCATCCCTTCTTGCAATCTTCTTATAAAGAATGTCAACGGGGGAAGGCAGACTCGCTTAACAACTGTGTGATTAATGGAACAACCACAGGGATTCCCTTAACAACTGTGGGAAGAAAGGTCCGAAATGGTCTAGGTCAGGGGTAGGCAACCTTGGCTCTTTTACGACTCGTGGACTTCCACTCCCAGAATTCCTGAGCCAGCCATGCTGAGGGGAAAGGGAGAGGTTGCCAAGCTGAGCCCTGCTGGCTCAGGAATTCCGGAAGTTGAAGTCCACGAGTCATGAAGGGGCCATAGCTTCCCCCATGCTGGCTCAGGAATTCTGGGAGTTGAAGTCCACGAGTCATAAAAGAGCCAAGGTTGCCTACACCTGGCCTAGGGCCTAGGCCACTATTTCTCAATCTTGGCAGCTTGAAGATGTGTGGACTTCAACTCCCAGAATTCCTGAGCCAGCCATGCTGAGGGGAAGGGAGAGGTTTCCAAACTGAGCCATGCTGGCTCAGGAATTCTGGGAGTTGAAGTCCACGAGTCACAAAAGAGCCAAGGTTGCCTATCCCTGGTATAGGGTTTCCTGCCTGAGCAGGGGGTTGGACTAGATGACCTCCAAGATCCCTTCCAACTTTATTATTATTATTATTATTATTATTATTATTATTATTATTATTATTATTATTATTATTATTATGGCAAAATTCACTTAACAACCATCTCACTTACAACAGAAATCATGGTTTCCATTGTGGCGCTAGGATCCCTGTCCTAGGTCAAGGACTACCTATATATGGGAAGGTCTTTGCAGGCGCGCATCTCATTTCTGTTTTCTAAAATATGGAAAACTGCTTTTGCACAGCTATCTAGATAGGAAAGCGCTACTTTCACCCACTGCGACTTTCAAAAACAAACCTGGGGTCTCAGCCAATAAATTTCTCCTTTGAACTGAGCCAACGGAGTAGAACAGTTGAAAAACAGAGAATCGTCACTAGCCGGAAACGCCAGGTCCTTGTACAGGTCTCCTTTCCGATCTGCCGAGACCCCGACTCCCAGCATCTTTTACAAATCTGCAAGGACCTGCAGCCCCTTCAGAGGCAATGGGGATCTGATTTAAATCTGCAAAACAGGTTAGGAGGCCAGGAGAACCTACAGTTATATTTCATTTTTCTTCTTCTCTACATATTTAAAATGTGCTTTTTTTTTTAACCGAACAAAGCATAGGATAACATTATAAAGGACAGAGAAAAAAAGGAGGATGCAATTTCAAAGAGAAGGCCAACCTTGAAATATCCATACTTAGTACCAGTGATATTTAAGGAAAAATATCATTCAAAAGAATTAAGCTGCACAATTCCACACCAGAAGACAAGAGATGTTTCAGAAATGAGGCCTATCGGTGGTGGTGGGCCTTGCCTCAAACTAAGCATTGTCAACCAACAATGGGGGCTTCTGGGAATTGAAGTCCTCCCATCTTAAAATGGCCCAAGTTTAAGAAACTTTGCACTAAGCCAGGGGTCTTCAAACTTGGCCCTTTTATGACTTGTGGACTTCAACTCCCAGAATTCCTCAGCCAGTCATAAAAGGGCCAAGTTTGAAGACCCCTGGCTTAAATCTAACAAACAAAATGGAGTCTGGCTGAGGAATTTTGGGAGTTGAAGTCCACAAGTCATAAAAGGGCCAGGTTTGAAGACCCCTGTCTTAAATCTAACAAACAAAATGGGGGCTGGCTGAGGAATTCTGGGAGTTGAAGTCCACAAGTCATAAAAGGGCCAAGTTTAAAGATCCCTGTACCTAAACTGACTTTCCAGGTTCAAGGCACCTTGTTCCCACCTAAAGTAGAAACAAACTCCATGTGAACTTATTTATTAAATTTATTTGCGGCCCATCTCATTTCAAAGTGACGTCACAAATATGGCTGGTTGGTTTGTTAAAAATAGAAATCTGGTCCGCTCTAACAAAAGCCTTGTAGCAAACAGGTATTTCTTAACTTGCAACAGTCCGTTTCGTGACCAAACTTAAGAATGGCGCTGAAAAAAGTATTTTCTAACCTTTTTTCACATTTACAGCCATTGCAGCATCTCCGTGGTCATGTGATCAAAATTCAGCCACTTGGCAACTGACTCATACTTATGATGGTCGCAGTGTCCCGGGGTCACGTGATCCCCTTTTGCGACCTTCGGACAAGGAAAGTCAATGGGGAAGCCAGATTCACTTAACCACCATGTGACTAACTTAACAACTGTAGTGATTCACTTAACAACTGTGGCAAGAAAAATCGTAACATGGGGCAAAACTCGCTTCACAACTGTCTCACTTAGCAACGGAAATTTTGGGCTCAGTTGTGGTTATAAATCGAGAACTACTTGTATTTAAAAGGGGTGGTAAACCATGATCTTGACATTCCCTTTAAAACTGCAGATTTATTTTAGATTTTAATCCAGGGTGGATCATGTGCTTTTTCACTTCTGCATTAAAGATTACACTGGTTTAATTGCACCCGCTAATACATACAGGTCAGCTAATTTGCTTACCATGTCGGTCCTCTCTTTTCGTCAGCTGTAGTTGCTAAACTCTCCAGACGCCCCAGCTACATCCTGATTAATCGACAAATAGAGCAGATAGAAAAGGTGGCAGATAAAACACAATTCATAACCAATCAAAGTCTGGTTGTGGAGAGGAATAGCTGGAGTTGTGATCATCATCAAACTGTGCATGTTCTGCCAATGTGGCTCCTAGATCTTTAAGCGACCTAGCTAAACCCATGATGGTGGGAATGCAGCCACAGCCACAGCCAGT